TAGGGAAGAAAGATGAAGCAGTCTGTTTCTGAAAGTCTATAAAGATTTATTGTTTTAGAAATCCAAAGGGGCAGCTCTACCCTCTGCCCTGCTGAGTCACTAGGAAATGTGTTTGATTTGGTTTGGAACAGACAGAAAGAATAAAAACAGAGAAGAAAGGGACAAGAAATTTTAGCAAGGGATCAGAAAACACAGTTTGACCAAAGAACAACAAAGCAGATAAGAAAAGTGAAAAAGGCAGATCAAGGCTCTATCACAAAAGGTCTTAATGCAAGACTGAGCTATCTATAACTATTTCATTAGCCAACAGAGAATCCTCTAAAGTCTAGGAACAGAGGAGTTATATGATCACGGCTGCTTTAGATAAACTGGCAACACTAGTTCTGGGTTTACCAGAGGGAGACAAAAAGAGGCAGTAAGATTAGCTGAGGCGCTCGTTAACCTGACCAACCAAGACATGTGGACATCCTGAACTTTGGCATTTCAAAAACAGAGCAGAAAAGCAGGGGAAGGTTCTCAAGATTACAGAACCAGACCCTACAGGATTTAGCAGCATTTTAAAGATTGTTGCTGCTGTGTACTGCGAGTCGGAACCGACCCATAGCTGACGCTACTCCAACAGCTTTTCAGACACAGTAAATTATATGGAAAGAGATTACCCATCCTTCTTCTATGGTGCAGCTAGTGGATTCAAAGCATATACCTTTTTTATTGGTAATGCATTATCTTAATAGTAGGAAGTTACTGAAGAAATGACTAGAGAAGCTGACCCAGTATCTAGTAGTTGAGTGCTTGGTGACCGGGAAGAGAGACCACAGCTCCTTCCACAGCATGGAGCAGCTGAGCTGAAGCAAGGCTAAGCTGCAAAAACTTAGAGACTAAAGGGGCAAAAATAAAGTTACTAGATAGTTGTGTCTAACTCAGGGACTCTTCATTGGGTTTCAAAGGCAAGAGGAAGCTGGTCATCTTAATTCCAAAAAGCAGATGGAGGAGTTGAACTGTTGGCCATTCTGAAGATTCAAATCCACCAGTAGCGTAGTTCCAAGGAACTAGGGTGGGAAATTTTCTCTTTGTAACACACAGCTTCTGGAAACCTGCTGCAGGATCAAGGGTCAACTGTTGACCTTTCAGTTATCAGCCTGACCTGTTACACATTATGCCACCAAGGCTCTGTACCGTGAGAAGAGAAGCAGCCAGATGGGTTGGGAATAGAGCTGCCATGAATCATCAAAGGGAAGAAGCAATCAAGACGCAGATGGCAGTCCTAGGCCCGTGAAATAACATAGTACATGTGGTTGTCTAATGCCAAAAAGTGGATTCAACAAACAAAGAGGATAATACAGAAAAGCAGGATCATCCATGCTCATCACCCTCCCTGAACCTGGCCTTGACTTTGGGTCTCAGTGTAGAACTTCTCCTTTCTGGCCTGAATGCATTCTTAGTTGTTATAACTCAACTCAGTCTCACTGCTGCCAGGCAGGAACTGACTCATGGCTGCCTGTGACCTGGGTTTTCAGATGCTGTTCACAACGTGGGCAGAGTCTTCCCATCTCTCTCCCAAAGGACAGCTGGTGGATTTGAACTGCCTACCTTTGGGCTTGGCAACACCACGCCTCCGCCTTACTCACTAGGTCACCGGAACTCCCTCATATCTTTTATCGGTCTTGCCAAAGACTTAAATATGATCTATTTAGACCACAAGGTGGTCTATTTAGACCTAAAGAATGGTTTTTCTATTATACACACTAATTGGAGAATAACAACTGGCGCTGCATGTGTGCTCAGTGAGCACGCCAGGAGCAAATGTGTGAAGTCAGTGTCCCGAAGGACCTCAGTCCTCCAAGTCCTCTCAAGGCTCTTTCCAACAACACAAACTTGACTGAATTCATACATTTTTTAGAAAGTCCTTTAGTGAATATTTAAATTACTGCTTCAATATCTTTAATTGGAAAATAAGATTTTAAACCGTTCACCTCCCACCTCTTCTTTTCTCTGGACACCCATATGGAGAGGAATAAGGCAGTGGGCACCTTCTACCTCTCCGAGTTTGTTTTCAAGAGCATTTTCTGTTTTCTACTCACGGATTTTAAGAGTTAACCTCAGAGGGGCTTAGTAATACATCAACACAGATCTCTGCTATGAAAGGTAAAGCTTTAGTTTAGCCTCACATTAAGTCTCTTCTCTTTCCAACTTCAACCATATTGGAATTAGTCATGCTGGGAGTATGTGCCCCATCGAAATCTCAAAGTTAACAAGCAGATCAGTTTATCATTGCACTCATCTCCCCCCTCCCACTTTGTTTACTTGTCTATAGGGAGATTCTGTGACTTAGTCCTCAGAGGGAACTCTGGTGGCCTAGACTAAGTTGCACTGTTAACTCAAAGACAGCATCTCTCCAGTGGTTCGAATCCACTGGAGGCTCTGCAAGAAAAAGATGGGAAATATCGTGCAATTTGAAGCCTCTGAAAACGCACTGGAGAATCAGCTATGAGTCACTTCCAACTTGACGGCAATGAGTTTGAGTGTTCTGAGTTTGAGCCTTTTAGGGAGCTGCACTGCTGCTGACCCAAAGGCTGGGCTATTCTGGAGGTTCAAATCCCCCAGTAGCTGCAAGGGAGTAAGGTGGGAACTTTCCTCCTTGGGATATACAGCTTCTAAAAAGCCACTGCAGGGTCTAGGAGAATGAAATCAATGAGGGGGAAAACGGCAATGCAAGACAGAGAGACAGAAAAGTAACCTGCAGCCAGGGTAAAGAGCTACTGACAAGAAGGCAAGGTACTTATAGAATTAGTCTGGAGGATTTACATGTCTTAAGCATCTGTACCAGGAACCCTGGTGATAGAATGAGGAATGTGTCAGGTTATTAACCAAACAATGAACAGTTGAACTCTGTGAGCCACTCCAAAGAGAAAAAATGGACAGTACCACCCGTCCCTAAAGATTTCCAGCCTGATGGCGGGTATTACTGTGAGTCAGAGTCGACTCCACGCCAGTGTGAGCAGCTGCTTTTATGTGTTAAAAGGCCCTGGTGATGTGATGCTTAAACTCGAAGCTGCTAACCAGAAGTTGATAGTTGATGACCAGATAGTTGATAGGAGAAAAATCCTGGCAACTGGCAGAGATAAATATTACAGCCTGGGAATCTCCATGGGGCAGTTCTGTTCTGCCCTGTAAGGGCGGCCACGTACCAGAACTACCTCAACAACATACAAAACAAAAACAATCCCATGTGTCTGCAATAACACGCTTACCCTACAACCTAGAACCGCTAGCTAGAATCTCACGTGGTCAGCTGTTCTAAAGAGCTTTATATAAGCTCTATTTATAATTGACTCCGTTACGTAATGTGTGCTAACTTCTTAACAAAAAGCCTAATTGTAGCCTTCAGAATCAGAATTTGAACTCTGGTGGTCAGGAGCTGCTCTGTGAACCCAAAGGCACGTGGTTCAAATCCACCAGCTGCTCCGCAAGAGAAAGATGGGCAGTCTTCTTCCATGCATCTCATTGCCTCTGAAAACTTGCTGGAGGTTCAGCTATGAGTCAGTTTCAACCTGATGGCACACCACCATAACAACAACATGAGAATGTAAGAAGTAATTTAGTCTTTTATTTAAATTATGTATTTGCACTCACTTGTTATACATCAGAGAGTTGGACAATGACCAAGGAGGATAGAAGGAGAACTGATGCCTTTGAGCTGTGGTGCTGGAGAAGAGTATTGAGAATACCATGGACTGCCAAGAAAACAAACAGATTCATCCTGGAAAGGATTAAACCGGGTGGCTCCTTGGAGGCAAGGATTCTGAGGCTTTGTCTAACATACTTTGGACATGTTGTAAGGAGAGACCAGTCCTTGGAGAAGGACATCATGCTTGGGAGGGTGGAGGGACAGCGCAGGAGGGGAAGGCCCTCTAGGAGGTGGATTGATTCAATGACTGGGTAATCAGGATGGGTGTGTCAGAAACAGTGCGACTGGCACAGGACAGAACAGAGTTTAGGGCTGTTGTACATAGGGTCACTATGAGTCGCAAGCAACTCGTGACTTGACGGCATATAACAGCAACATTTAGTACAGGAAACTATTCCCTGAGAGCCACTAAATTGTGAAAAGATAGTGCAGAATGATAATCTGTCCACTTTATAACCACCTAGATTTCTACATGCATTTATACAGTGGCTTGGTTTAAAATTAAAAGAAGAAAAATTTTTTAAAAAAACAAGAAAGGAAGAAACACCATTTGTGCCACTGTGACTTCTAAGTCCTCGTCCTGAGGGCCTTTTGAGCAGTAATAAGACCCCAGAGACTGGAATTAATTTTGGCTTTCAGAGGACAATTTAACTAGAAGCCTCAGTGACATAATCAGCTAGACCACATTTCTATCCCTCGTCATCTGAGTACAGGAAATTCTTGTGTTGAAATCACCTCTCATGGAAAGAACGCTTCTCTTGTCACAGGAAGCTGAACAATTAGCCTTTGCTGAGAGGTCTGCTCCCACAGCCTGCCCTCCCTGCACCAGGGAGCCCGGGTGGCTGATGATAAGGAGTTGCCCTGCCAATCACAGGCACACAGTTCGAATCCCTCAGCTGCTCTGAGGTGAAAGATGAGTAACTGCATCCTTTGTGATTTGCTGCCTCTGAAAACCCGGCTCAAGTTGGTTATAATTCGACTGTTCAGAACAAGAAGGTCACGGTCATCAACAAGCCCTGGTGGTGCAGGAGTTAAGCACCTCACTACTCACAGAAAGGCTGGCTGTTGGGATTCACAAGCTGCCCCATGGGGGAAACGTGGCAATCCGCTTCCTTATGATTTACAGCCTGGACAACCTTAGAGAAGGCAGTTCTACCCTATCTTACAGGGCCACGAGGAGTCAGAGCTGACTCGATGGCAGCTTTCTGTAGACGCCTTATCCCCTAACCACAGTCATGTGGGCAAGTGGAAAAATAATACATTCCTAACTGGCCTTCTTGGCGATAGTAAAGGGAAGATAGAAACACCGTACCCATGCGAGAAGCAACAGATTTCTCTTCACCGTCCCACAGTATCCCAGCATCCCCACAATGATCAGGAAACAGCAAACGGCGATCATAACCGGATGCACCACAGGAAAGTAAGTCAAGATGACAGCCTCCTCTAGCCTGGAAGAAGAAAAACACGTATCAGCGCTATGCCCAAGACACAGCTCCAGGGAAAACGGCCCAAGTTTTATTCTTGACTTCTTCAATCATCATGCCTTCAAGCTAGGATTGCCATTTTCTAGATAACAGTGTCTCTCTCTCTCTCTCTCTCTCTCTCTCTCTCTCTCTCTCTCTCTCTCTCCTCCCTCTCTCTTCTCTCTCTTGCTCTCCCTCTCTGTCTCTCTCTCTCGTAGGATGATCTGTTATATGCAAAGGAAATCTTACCAGACGGAAGAACTTGGTAGATAAAGTAACATTCACTATATAGTTGTAAGTTTCATCAAAATAACCGACAAGTTTAATGTATAAGGGATTTGGGTTTCCGACCAGTATTTTCACTAGCGGTACATCAAATATTTGAAAATCTGTGAAAACAAAATAAATATTGAAAAATGTAAACTCATTTTAGTAATGCTTGCCTACTCAAGGCTTTAGACTGTCTATGGAATCTCTTCTAAAGATACTATCATGGCTGCAAGTATAATGTGCAATTTATATACTGTTGTTGTTAGGTGCCATCAAATTGATTCCACAAGGTAGAAATAATAAAAATTAAGACTCTTAAATTCCTGGAGAAGAATATTGAAAATGGAACATATAATCAATGTGGAAGAATTTCTGTGGGGCTTAAAAGGGAGTGTTTCGGGACAT